TGTTTGTCTGGTAACCTCCTGTAACTGACTCCCCCCAGTCATTAGCTGAAGATGATATTTAAGGTGGTGGTTTCAGCCATTTTGGCGAGTTGCTCAGCTTGCCTGAGCTTCTCCCATGTATACACGTTATAAAGCTTTGTTTAATTTCTCCTGTTATTCTGTCTCATGTGAATTTAATTCATTCTCCGGCCAGAAGAACCCAGAGAGGGTAGAGGAAATGTCTTCCTCCCCTACACTATCAACACTTGGTATTATCAATTTTTAATTTTTCCATTCTCATGGATGTGCAGTATTATCTCATTATGGTATTAATTTGCATTTCCCTAATGACTAATGAAGTTTTACATTTTTTCATTGGCTTTTGGTATTTTCTCTATCTTCTTTGGTAAAGCCTCTGACCAAATCTTTTGCCACTAAAAAAATTGACTTTTTTCCCCTTTTTATTGTAGGAATTCATTAAATATTTTGGACACTTTATCAATATACGTTTTGCAAATATTTTCTTTGTGGCTTCCCTTTTCATGTTCTTACTGATATCTCTCAAAGAGCAAAAGCTGTTTTTTTTTAATGAGTCTCACTTATCAAATATTTTCTTCTATAGTTTGTGTCCTATCTAAGACATCTTTGCCAAATCTGAGATCATGAGAATTTCATCCTATCCTTTCTTTTAGAGGTTCTAGAATTTTATCTCTACTCATTAGGTCTGTGATCCGCTTTGAGTTCATTTTGTGCATGGTGTGAGGAAAGGATAAATGCTCATGTTTTTCCATACAGATCTCCAATATCTCCAGCACCACTCGTTGAAAGATTTTATTTTTGAAGAACTTTGTCACCTGTATTAGTTTGCTGCGGCTTCCATACAAATTACCACAAACTGGGTGACTGAAAACAACAGAAATGTATTCTCTCACAGCAATGGAGGCCAGAAATCTAAAATCAAGGTGTTGGCGAGGCCGTGCTCTCTCTGCAGGCTCCAGGCAAGAATCCTTCCTAGGCTCCTCCTGGCTTCTGGTGGCTCCCAGCAGCCCTTGGTCCTCCTTGGCTTATAGCTGCGTTACTCTAGCCTGCCTCCATGATCACGTGGCGTCTCCCCGTGTGTCTTTGTGCCCAAATTTCCCTCTTCTTACAAGAATTGGATTTGGGGCCCACTCTAATCCAGTATGGCCTTATCTAACTAACTACATCTGCAAATATCCTATTTCCAAAAAGGTCACATGCCGAGATTCTGAGTGGACGTAAATTTTGGGGGAACTCTTTTCAACCCATTATCAGACCTTTGTGAAGAAACAGTTGATGATATATGAAGATCCATTTCTGGACACTTTATTCTGTTCCATTGACCTATTTCGCTATCTTTTAGCCAATACCACACTGTCTTGAATACTGTAGCTATATAGTGGATTTTAAATTCTTCAACTTTATTCTGTTTCAAAATAATTTGGGCTATTCTAAGTCCTTTCCAATTCCATTTAAATTATTGAAATAGTGTATATTTCTACAAAAAATTACTGCTGGGATTTTGATTAAGATGGCTTTGAATCTATTGATCAATTTGACTTCTCAATAATATTCAGTCTTCTGACTCATTTAAGTTTTCCTTTCAGTAATGTTATAAAACTATAAAGTGTACAGCTTTTGCACATATTTTGTTAAATTTATCTTTAAAGTATTTCATGTTTTTGATGTTGTAAATATTTTTAAATTTCAACTTCCAGTTGTTCACTGCCAGCATAGAGAAATACTATTAATTTTTGTATATTGACCTTGCCAAACACATTTATTAACTATAGTAGCTTTTATTTTGTAGATTCCTTAGAGTTTTTTACATAGATAATCATGTTACCTGCAAATAGTTTTGCTTTTTCTTTTTCAATCTGCTTATCGTTTATTTCCTATTAATTGCCTTATTGCCCTGGCTAGGACCTGAAGTAAATACTGTATAGAAATGATGAAATTGGACCTCCTTGCCTTGTTCCCAACCTTAGGGGAACACATTTAGTGTTTCACCATCAAATGTGATGTTATGTATGTATTTTAGGGAAGTTCTATTTATAGGAAGCTCTCTCCTATTTTAAGTTTGCTGAGAGATTTTATCATGATTGGGTGTCCGATTTTGTCAAATACTTTCTCTGTATATGATCACGTATTTTTTTTCCTCCTGTATTCCATTCATTTGATCAATTACATTGATATTCAAATATTAAAACCGATCTTACATTCCCAGGAAAAGTCCCACTTGATAGAGATGTTTTAAAAATATATTGTGGGATTCTATTTGATAAAATTTTGTTAATTTTTGTGCCTATGTTCATGAGGGATATTGGTCTGTAGTGTTTTTGTAATATCTTTGGCTGGTTTTGGTGCAATAGTGGCCTCAAAAAGTGTATATTCTTCTTCTATCATTTGCAAGATTTTTAAAAAAATTTCTTTCCTTGGTAGAATTCACAGCAAAGGCATCTGGGCATAGAGTTTTCTTTGTGAGGAGATTTTTAACTATAAATTCAATTTCTTTAATAGATATAGGGCTACTTGAGTTATCGATTTCTTTTTATGTGAACTTCAATAGCTTATGTCCACTTTATCTGTGTTGTTAAATTTACTGTCATTAAGTTGTTCGTAATATTCCCTTATTATCTTTTTAGGTCTGTAAGATCTGCAGTAATGTCCCTCTTTCATTTCTCATCTTGGTACCTTGTATCTTCCTTCCCTTGATCAGTTTGGCTAGAGGTTTATCAATTTTATTGATCTTTTCAAAGAACTAGCTTTTGGTTTCATTGATTTTTCTCTATTTTACTGTTTTACATTAATTACTGTTCTTATCTTCCTTATTTCTTCCTCTGCTTGCTTTGTGTTTAATTTGCGCTTCTTTTTCTAAATTCTTAAGTGGATGCCTAGAATGTTAATTTGAGATTTTTCTTCTGCAACAAAAATCATTTAATGCTATAACATTTCCACTAAGCCCTGGTTTAGCTGCCTCCCCTAAATTTTGATAGATGTTTTGATTTTCATTCACTTCAAAATATTTACTAATTTCCCTTGTGGTTTATTTCTTTTTTTTTTCTCTCTCCCCAAAGCCCCAGTGCCTGGTCATATATCCTAGCTGTAAGTGCTTCAAGTTCTTCTACACGGGATGCCTCCACAGCATGGCTTGACGAGTGGTGTGTAGGTCCACGCCCAGGATCCGAACCGGCGAACCCTGGGCCACCGAAGCAGAGTGCATGAAATTAACCACTTGGCCATGAGGCTGGCCCCCTGGTTTATTTCTTGACCTATGGATTATTTAGTACTCTATTATTTTCTAAATAATTGTGGATTTTCCTAGTATCTTTCTGTCATTTTTCTAGTTTAATTCCACTGTGGTCAGAGAACATACTTTGTATGATGTCAGTTATCTTACATTTTTTGAGACTAGTTTTATGATTTGGAATATGGTCTATAATAATGAAAGTTCCATGTTCATTTGAAGAGAATGTGTACTGCTGTGGTTGGGCTGGGGTAGCAGAAGTGTTCTATAATTGTCAATGAGGTTGATAGTGCTGTTCTGGTCTTCTGTGTTACTACTGATTTTGGTTATTTGTTCCATCCATTATTCAGAGAGGGATGATGAAATCACCAATCACAGTTGTAGATTTGTCTATTTCTCCTTCAATTTCTATCAGTTTCTGCTTTAGGTACTTTGAAGTTTGTTATCAAGTGCATCCCCATTGAGGATGGTATGTCTTCTTAATGAATTGATTACTTTCTCATTATGAAATTTTCCTTGTTCGGAAGTTTCCTTTGTGTGATGTAAATATAGCCTCTGTGGTTTTCTTTTTCTTAGTGTTTACATGGTAGGTATCTATTTATATTTAAATTGGGTTTCTGTAGACAGATGAGAGTTGGATCGTACTTTTCCTATCAAATATGATCATCTCTGATGTCTAATTGGCATGTTTATTTACATTTGAGATAATAATCGATAATAATCTCTCGATAATAATTGAGATAATAACTGGCAGTTAAATCTACTATCTTGCTATTTGCATTCTACTTATCTCGTGTACTCTTTGGTTTTTCCCCCCTCTTTTCCTGCCATATTTTGGATTGAGTTTTTCATAATTCCATTTCCCTCAATTGACTCATTAGTTATATTCTATTTGATTGATGTTTTTTATTATAGTTCTAGGATGGAGGTTCTGAAAGTGCATTCTGGGGTCCATGAGATCCTTTCAGTGAGTTTGTGAAGTCAGAAATATTGGCAGAGGGTATTTTTAGGGGTGGTTTAATAAGGTTATAATCTTTGGGCTGAATTTTTAGAGGCAAGCAGTCAGACAAGGAGAACAGAGAGAAAGCGTTGGGGGGATGATCAGAGCCTCAGGGACCAGTGGGGTCATCTAAGCACACAGGTCATTGGAGTCACAGAAGGAATGGGGGGAACAAAAACTACTTGAAGAAATGATGGTTGAAATTTTGCCAAATTTGATGAAAACTATAAACCCACAGATCTAAGAAGCTTAAGGGTCATTGAAATGACCACGTCTCCTTTGTACCCCATTGTATTCCATACATATTCTTATCACAGAATGTGTAACATTTGAATGCACTTATTTGGCTGTCTCCCCACACCAATTCGTGAGCAACTTTAAGGCAGAACAGTGGATGGCACCTGACAAATATTCGATAAACACAAGTTCCCAAATGCTGAGTGCCTCACAAGTTTTCTTATTTTGCTTGTCTCAGAGAGACAAAATATAATTGACTTCACTGACATTCCTTTTTCAAAATGTCAGTACTTTGGGAAATCAACTGATTTGAGTGTCTAAAAAATTATATAGGCAATAGTTGCACTTTTAGACCTCATGTTTAGCATGAAAAAGGGATAAATTTAAAATCAGACTTTAATATGGAAGCATCTATTGTAGTGTGCTTGCATAACAAATTATTGTACTGTTATACCATTAACACTTGATAAAAAAAGAAAAAGAATAGTTGCTTTGAAGTAGTATTATAAAGAAATTTACCTGGCCTGCAAATTTACCACTAGGATCAGCTGAAATAAACACACCATCTTTATCCATTTGAAATCCACTGTGAGACCAATAGGCCAGGTCAAAAGTAAATGTCTTCACATGCTCTGGATTCTTAGGGTCTTGTATAGTGGTGGTGGTCCCGGAATGCATGGAAATCACACACTTGCTCCCAGAATTCTTCTCTCTCTACAGTCAAATCACAAATTCAGAGTCAATCAATATCGCTTTTCTCTGTCATCCAATTGTTTTGCAAGTCTTTATGCCTAGTAAGAAATTAAGCCAGGAACTTACCATTCATTCTCGTTGTTCTCTAATTATGTTATTCTCAGCAGCTGTTATGACAGCAGTTGCTCTTATGCTCCCTCAGAATTTTTGAAAGGCTTGTCTCTAGTTGTATTAACTTTCTGAGAACAGCGCATCTAACAGCCAGCTACACTGATAGCAAAAACTACAGCCGTGAAGGCGGCGATCCACTCCCAGCAAGACAACACAAGGAGCAACACTGTCTTATGCCCTGCTGAAACCGGTGAAAATTGTCAATAAAAAAATGAAAATGAAAAAACAGCCATGTAAAGCCTCTGTCCTAAGGGGAAACAGCCAATAAAGAAATAGCTATTCAAGAAAATCTATCAAAATTTGGTAAAGTGTCACTGACTAATTGCCCTGAGGAGCTCAAGGGTGGGTTCGGAAGAAGTTAACTGTTTTTCCAAATGGCTTTTTTCCTTTTCTTATGTTAAGGAGATGCAGTCACTAACCACCCTGAACCAGACCCAGTCTCACCAGAGAGCTAAAGTCTGTGACCTTTGCCTTATTTCTAATGCTAAGATATCTCCAGGAGGAGCTTAGGCCTTGTACCATAATCTGCAATGTGTGTGGAAGCATGTTTCCACCTGAGCCTGCGTGAGAGGATACTTACTTCTCCCTTTGAAATATTCATTCCCCATCCAAAATAAATGTCCCTGCTTCCCTTTGTTCGGGGACACCATGACTCCAGAAATGATTCCTCATCTTCTCTTATTTGCCACTGTGGGGGCCGGGAATTGGCCACCCCAAGATATGTCTCTTTGGCATGAGGATTATTTGGGGCTGGTTACTTTTAATAAACTCGGACAGGGAAGGAGGCTCTGAGGAGTGGAACTTGCTTACCCTTTGTTAAGAAACATTTACATTATAAAGGAAATCTCCATCTGTAAAGATATCTCCCTCTCTACCAGGAATAAGAAAGGAGATGACCTTATCTCTAGAAACTCCTATCAATACAGAATGCAAGGACTTAAATCTGCATAATAATCTTATTCCTGTTTACTGTGCTTGTCTGGTAACCTCCTGTAACTGACTCCCCCTACCCCAACATCCTCCTTTGTCTTTAGCTGAAGATGATATTTAAGATGGTGGCTGCAGCCATTTTGGCGAGTTGCTCAGCTTTTCTCTCCCACGTATACATGTTATAAAGCTTTGTTTAATTTTCTCCTGTTATTCTCTCTCATGTGAATTTAATTCATTCTCCGGCCAGAAGAACCCAGAGAGGGTAGAGGAAATGTCTTCCTCTCCTACACCGCAAGTACACTTTACTTTGTGAGACAACTCCTTCTGGTGGAAAGTCTGATTTAACTCGCCAGGAGGGAACCCGCTTTGGTTTTGGTAACAAATCCGGTGCCCAACATTGGGCTTACCCCTTTGTGGTGCTTATGCTGCTGGCTTGACATCGCTGCCCCCTCGGGAGACCCAGCAGCCGCACTGAGTGCTTTGCTTGTGGGCACTCTCAATGGAGGAGAGGGGCGCCAAGCCTACAGCATGGCTGTAAGAGTTCTTTCTTTAAGTTTTCTCAAAAAGTTTGCTGGTTGGAGCCTGGCTTCCAGGTTCAAGTCCTCACCTGGGGGTAGCCTGGCTCAGGGAAGTGAGGGTTCCCTCTGGTTGGAAGGATTGCATGACCGGGCCACTCCAGAAGGAGTGCTGCTCTGTTCTGACGAACAGGAGCAATCCCTGTTGACTAGTCATTAACTGGGTTCAAGTCTCCTCTGGAGTGACGAGGTGGGGGTTCGAGGCACCCCCCCCCACCCTCCCACAAAGTCACTGAATCTGTCTTTGTGTTGCACCTGTGATCAGAGGAGGGGTCCTCTTAGATGGGGTTAAACCACCTCTGGAGTTGCTGAGTCCGTTTTGTGTTTGTTTGTTTTTGTTGAGGACTCAAAATGAATCTTGTTTTTCCAAAGTCTGGCTTTTCTGGACTCCTAGGTGTCCTTTTTTCCCCTTGCCCTCTCTATCAGGATTTAGTTACTCAGCCCGGGTCTAGTTTCAGGCTATTAGGGTGCTAAACCCACTCTGGGCAAAACCTTGTGGTGTCTGCGTCACCACTAACCATCACAAGTTGCTCCTGGGAGGTTGGAAACAGACCATAAGAAAAGACGCTAGAATACGGGGGAGCAAGCTCCAAGCCAGAGGAAAGCCCCTTGCGCTGCACCCTCCAGAGCTAGAAGGCCGTCAGGTACTCCCCATTGACCCGAGAGCAAATGATGCTTTTCTGTAACTGAGCCTGGCCGCAGTATTCACGGGAAGATGGGGAAAGATGGCCAGAATATGGGCCCCTAAGTGTTAACCCCATACTACAACTGGATCTATTTTGCAAAAGAACCAAGAAACGGGAAGAAATCCCTTATGTCCAGTGCTTCATGGCACTATGTCTAAATGAAGGGTTGAAGGTTGAATCTAAGACTTCAAAAATACTTCCCATATTACGAGGAGGACCTGCTCCTCCAAATCAGGGAAACATGGGACTCTGGAGGCCATAACAGGTCCAAACCATTTCCTGTCCCCACCACCACCAGCAAGCAATCCCTCTACAGAGAATTGACTCTCCAACAACCAAGACCCTTCACCTTCCTCTGCCAGACAGTACAACGAGATTAGGAACCAGTTACAAACGTGGGATGTAGGTCCTAAGACAGGTGCCTGACAGTGTGGGGAGACTTACTAACATGCACATCCCCTTTTCCACCTCTAATCTATGTAATTGGAAGGCACACAGTAAAGGATTGAGGACGGACCCAGAAGAGTTCATAAACCCGCCACACATGATCCAACCTGGGTAGATACTCAAAGCCCATCAACTATACTCTTTACAGCCGAGGAGAAGTCAGCTGTTCCGTTAAAAGGTAGAGAACAAGCAGAGGGTGAACATGACCCAGGGTCGGACATCCGCAGGCCTAGTGAACAGGCTGTGTCAGAGACTGACCCTGGATGTCATCTCAATGACCTTGATGATCAAGAAAAGCTAGGACATTTTCGGGGTCTGCTTTTGAAAGCCATGCAAATAGCAACTAGTAAGCCAGCCACCCATTAAGTGGTCTAAATTAAGAGAGGTCCAACAGGGCCCTGAGGAAAACCCCTCTGCTTTTTTTCAGAGATTGTGGGACTGCCTCAGGTGATTCACAAACTGGGATCCCCAGGCCCAGGGCAGTACAGTGACTCTTAATACCTATTTCTTTTCTTTTCTTTTTTTTTTTTGAGGAAGATTAGCCCTGAGCTAACTGCTGCCAGTCCTCCTGTTTTTGCTGAGGAAGACTGGCCCTGAGCTGACATGTGTGCCCATCTTCCTCTACTTTATACATGGGACGCCTACCACAGCATGGCTTGCCAAGCAGTGCCATGTCCGCACCCAGGATCCGAACCGGCGAACCCCAGGCCACCAAAATGGAACGTGGGCACTTAACCGCTGCACCACTGGGCCAGCCCCTTAATACCTATTTCATATCTCAAAGTGCTCCAGACATCCATAGGAAACTCCAAAAGTTGGCCATAGGTCCTGATAGTAATCTTGCACAATTAGTAGAGGCTGCATTTAGGGTGTTCAACAACCGGGATGTAACTAAGAATGAAAAAGAAGACATGGGGGCCGCCCGGTGGGGCAGCAGTTAAGTTCACACGTTCCGCTTCTCCGCGGCCCGGGGTTCGCCGGTTCAGATCCCGGGTGTGGACGTGGTACTGCTTGGCACGCCATGCTGTGGTAGGCGTCCCACATATAAAGTAGAGGAAGATGGGCACGGATGTTAGCTCAGGGCCAGTCTTCCTCAGCAAAAAGAGGAGGATTGGCAGCAGTTAGCTCAGGGCTAATCTTCCTCAAAAAAAAAAAAAAAAGAAGACATGATGAAAACACAAGCTGCCCTGTTAGCTGTGGCCCTCCAGTCTACTCAAGGTAACCTGAGGAAGAGAAGGAAGGTGACATGGGTTAGTGACTCTGGCTCCCAGCGAAGCACCAGAAAGCCACCAACAAAGTTGGGGACTAATCAGTTAGCATACAGATGAGATGTGATGGGGCTGTGGGGCTCCCCAGTTGGCTGTAGGAGCCCTGAGTGACCCTGGCAGTAGGAGAAGAATATGTTGAATTCTTGCTCCATATTGGAGCCACATTCTCCATATTGAACGCCCCAGAAGAGAAAGCTTTCTAAAGGAAAGTGTGACATAAAACAGGTATCAGGAAAAGGAGAGACCAAAAGGTCTCTGGAGCCCTTGACCTGTGAAATAGGATCAAAACTGTATGCACCAGAATGCCCTGTCCCCCTCTAGGGAAGGACGTGCTATCTAAGTTAGAGACCTCAATAAGCTGGGAACAAGACAAAATAGAGATCCAAGTCCCCAAAAGTTGGGGAGTTGAGCTTATGGCCCTATTACAGGATACACCAGTGATGAGGATCAGGGCTGCCCCAGAGAGAGAAGCCCAAGGCATCCTGCGCTACATACTGATCTCTGTCATCCCCCAGGAAGCACAGGAGTCCTGACCTGATTCCTCTCCAAAGGTATAGGACCACCCGATAACCAGACCCCACCTGCACTGATCCCATTTTAATGATTTTTTCATGATCTTTCCTTGGTCTTGTAAAGAAATAACTCACATACCTATGCCTTATAAATTTAGCCCTACCCTCAACCCACTGCAGCTTTTCATTACCCGTGGGTCCTGTCCCCATGCTGCTCCATGCTATTCTCTGAATAAAAGAGCACTACTGCCAGACCTTGAGAGTCCAAGAAAGCTTTCTTTCGACTCCTTGGCTCACCGAGCCCACATCAGTAGTGCTCCTTTATTCAGAGAACAGCATGAGGTCAGGACCCGTGGGCAGTAAGAGCTGCAGGCATGGGGACGGGACCCGTGGGCAGTAAGAGCTGCAATGGGTTGAGCATAGGGCTAAATT